CGTGTCTGCCGGGGTGTTGCCGCGGCACTCCAAACACGAGGCCGGTACGTGGTTCGAAAATGAAATTATAGTGCCACAATCAAAGTACGCTCAGTTTTTGCCTCCTCACAATTGCTACTTTCCGTTCCCCCTCTTTCTTCTTTTGGCATAATATTAGTGGCCAAAATGCGTACAAAGTGATGTCAGTTTCATGCGAAACGGACCGTCCGTTCGTGAAATGATGGCGCTTTTGTTCTCTCGAACATGCGCCACAGCCCTTTGTGGGTCCCAACATTTGCTTCCTAATCCGGACAAAGTCCGTATTTGGACACAACTCTGAGTGCCGTGACTCGCATGCGATACCATCAGATAACGCTTCTTTTTGTTCGGTCTGGGCACGGTTTCTCGCCTGCTGGGCCTCGGTATGTTTCGCCGTCCAATGGTGCCAGTGCCTCTTGCCGGGAGGAGTTTGAATCCCTGGCCTGCATATATAAGACCCACCTGGGGCTCGCTTAGGTCCCTCATCTTCTCTCTCCTCTACCACCATCATCTCCTCCCTCCCCTCCCTCCCGGACCCGGACCCAAGGTAAGTCTCTTCAACCTTTCTCTTATCCCGTGCTCCCATCCTCTCCTCCTTGTGTCCCTCCTCAATGTTCAGCGTGCTGACTCATCTCGATTCACACAGGCCGCCCAATCAAGACCGGTGTCAAGACTCAACATCAACTACCAAGACCTCAAGCCGGGACCGTATCGGATCGGGATCGCTCGCGACGCGATCGACAGGCCATGGGTGTCACGGGGATGTGCGCAGAGTCGCGCTGCGGCCTCAAGAACCTCGAGGGATATACGGCATCCCGGACACAATACCCTATTAACCCCTTATAAATACAAAGGACATGCCGGCCAGCGTCGCGCATTGTCCTGGGGATGGTCCAATCTTTCACTTGCTAGACGCCCTTCGGGGGTGTCACTTTTCTCTTCGAGGCTAGTCCTCTCATTATGTCCCCTGGTATGGTGTCGGCCTCTTCGTGGCTCAGGGGATTAGTACCTCTTCGGAGGGAAGCTAACAGACGTCCCGCTCGTTGGGGTTCTCTCCCCCAGATCGGCACGAGCGCCCGTGTCCCGCCTTTATGGCCTTCGTGCGTCATGTTTCTCTGTGATTGGGCGACGATTATGGCTGTATGTTGACGTTGATATTCCTTTCTAGAAATGACCCTAATGTGGGCAAGGCGGAGAGAGAGAGCCTTTGAATCAGAGTCTTCGGCGGACTTCTAGCCATGGTACGCCCCTCCCCGGCCGCAATGGAGCTTACTTCTCGACAGTTATCCCCTATATTACCGTCTTGGAGGCCTGGACCCCTAGTGTGTCCGCCGTCGTTGCTGGCGGTACTGGAAGTGCGTGTGTGACGCCAACGCGGCAATGGACCTTTATCTCTTTTCTTTCTTTGGTTTCGTTGGGGGAGTTTTCGCACTTTGAGTGCATTCTACCGAGGCTATGCCTCCCTTTTTTCTCCTGGTACGGCGTCGGCCTCTTCGTGGCCCAGGAGACTAGTACCTCTTCGGAGGGAAGCTAACAGACGTCCCGCTCGTTGGGGTTCTCTCCCCCAGTTCGGCACGAGCGCCCGTGTCCCGCCTTCATGGCCTTCGTGCGTCATGTTTCTCCGAGTCTGTGATTGGACGACGATTATGGCTGTATGCTGACGTTCATGTTCTTGTGTAGAAATGACCCTCACGTGGGCAAGGCGGAGAGAGAGAGCCTTTGGATTAGAGTCCTCGACGGACTCCCCTTTTTCATTGGTCTGGCCATGGTACGCCCCTCCCCGGCCGCAATGGAGCTTACTTCTCCTATATTACCTTCCTGGAGGCCCGGACCCCTAGTGTGTCCGCCGTCATTGCTGGCGGCACTGGAAGTGCGTGTGTGACGCCAACACGGCAATGGACCTTTATCTCTTTTCTTTCTTTGGTTTCGTTGGGGGAGTTTTCGCACTTTGAGTGCATTCTACCGAGGCTAGGCCTCCCTTTTTTCTCCTGGTATGGCGCCGGCCTCTTCGTGGCCCAGGAGACTAGTACCTCTGACTCAGAGGGAAGCCAACAGGCGTCGGTTCGTACGGTACTGTAGCTCTTCGTCCCTGTAGCGTATCATTGTACGTGTATTGGCTAATGCTGCGGTCTCGTCTATCCATTGCTCTCTCAAGCTCTATGAGCAGACGAGTTCTGTGTCAGTTGCATGAGTTATCGGCAATAAACAGAGTCATAATCATTATTCTCATTGTAAATCATCGTGCAGTAGTATAGTGTCCTTTAAGGATTGTCGGAGAGCGCGGTGCAGTGAGGGCATGGCCATGATCTACTGAGAAATTCTAGAGACGCTGGGATAAAGCCTATACATCCTCACTGGTCACTGGCAGCCAACTTCGACAACGCCCGGAGTCTGCATACACTTGTCAGTGTTTCGTTCAACATACAGATGTGACAAAAGCTGAAAACGAAACCCGACACGTACTTGGGACCATAGAAGAAGAACAGGAACGGTAGGAGCCAGCGCAATTTAACTTGTGGCGCGAACTTGTAACTTGACTTGCCTGCCAAATCGGGCATGACTTAATGGAACAAACTTGTGGCACTTGCGTACCTCTCACTTGTGGCGCACTTGTGCTCCTATAATCCTCGATAACCATGTAGCTCACCAGCGATGACACCCATAAGTATCACACCTGGTGTGCCCTACATGGTTATTCTCCCTCTTCCCGTGTTGACGCGTATCTCAACTACGAATCTTTGTTACTCCTGCTCCGACTCGCTCGTCGATCACTTAGTCTCGGTTATAGCGGGCTTAAACCTCCACTGCGTACACTCTTGCGTAATGATTTCTCGAGCTAGCGCTGTAGCTGGAACCTACCCTCGGAGATTTGATTTGTCTAGACGGGCTATAGATGTCCAGCATGGCGATACGGGCCATTGCAAAGATGGAATCCTTGGGACCAACTTGGGACTTCCATCGATGATATAACCCTCCCGTTGAGGTCAAACAGAGCGGTAAACTT